TTTAGAGGGGAAAACACTTTGCATGCAGAGGAACTTGACTCTCCTCTAGCTACTGCCCCTTTCCTCTGTCGTTTGGTTGAGATAAATAGAGGATCATCTTGAAATGTCTCATTAACTTATTCTGTCTGGATTACGCACTTTGTAGTACTGTTGCTGCCATTTTATAGGTAAGGCTATGGGGACAGAGCTAAGTGATGTGACCAAGTCTCACAGCTAGTAAAAGCAGAGTCAGAATTCACATACCAGAGGTCTGACTCCAGAACTTGCCCACTAGGCCAAGGTGCCTCCTCAGAGGAGGACCTGGCATGGGATCTCCTGAAGCATCAGAGCATCAACATGGACTTACTTTCCCTGATTCTTTGGTTAGAAATGATATTTCTTGATTGCTTGGTTCTATTATTTTATAGTCTTTGAATAAAGAAAGGAGGATTGGACCTAGAGCTCCTTGGTTCTGAGTGTACCTTGTAGCTGTTAGGATAACAGGATTGCAGATGAATGAATTCACATCATGAGAGCTTGGGACTTCCTCATTCCTGACCTCTGGCAGGAAGTTCAGAGGGCTCTGATGTGTATTTTCTGACCCTTTGTTGGATAGCAAAATAATTATCAGAGCTAGTCCATTAACAGAGTGGAAGAGTATATAAATGTTGTCCTTGCTATTTCTTGAATATTAAACCTTTAAAAGTTAAAGTATGATCAAAGCATAGAGTAAGGGTTGTCAACATACTCAAGATAGGCATTTTTCGAAACGATTAATATTTTGTCTCTATTCCTTTTAATAGCAAATTTGAGTTTCAGTGCAGGTATGGATTCCTTGGTCCTTGTCTTCCAGAGCTCTAGGAATCTTTTTAACCACAGAGACCAACGTTAAAGCTTTATACTCAGCACTTTGAAGTTGGTCTTTGTTTTTGTGTTTGTTTTTTGGAGAGGTTATTGATTTATGATTGTAAAGGATTCCATTTTATTGTAATTTTAAAGATAATAGCTTTAGAAAAACTAGCATAATTATAAACAGCAATACACTTTGAGTCAATTTAATTAAATTAACATTAAGTTAATGTAATTTAATTGTTCTCTTTGACATTGTATGAATATTTATTAAGATTTTCCTGAGTTTTTATCATTTCAGGTTTTTTCTTGCTGATTCCCATTTCTATAGGTTAAATACATGTATTTAACTGGTATTTGAAAGCATTTGTAGCCAGGCTCGGTGGCTCAACCTGTGACTGCGTGCCTTTGGGAGGCTGAGGTGAGTGAATTGCCTGAGCCTGAGGGTTCGAGACCCGCCTGGGCAACTTGGTGAGACCTCATCTCTACAACAAATCAAAAAATTAGGCGGGTGTGGTAGCACGCGCCTGTAGTTCCAGCTACTCGGAAAGCTA